AGAATTTTCCACAAACTGTCCGACTCATTTTCACTCCTTGCTAGTCCAAAACAGTTTCATTATTCCACCCTCTCCCAGCCTCCGATGCTCAATTTATCTAGGGCCAAGCGTACCACTCTCAGATATGGATCAAAAGGTGCAGTATCAGAATACACCAAAAACAAATCGCCTCGCCGAGTTCATATCCTTTCGCTGTTCACAAAATCCAAGTACAGCTTGTACGTCACTGCCATCTCTTGCCTCGCTCCATTTCTATCAACAGTCAACTCAAATCTTTTTTGTTTTGAATACAAAAAGACAGGAGCAGAATACACACGGAAAGAGCAGTAGCAGTTGTAGTGGCAGCAGCAGCAGCAGCAGAAGTACGCAGCGAATGGTGGATACTTGAAATAAGTTATCAAAAATCTGAGCACCACATTCCTGCTCGGACTGAGCGCTACGCCTTCCTCGTAATGTACAAATACTGACTCTCCGAAGAGCCGCAGATCCATTGCTCAGCAAATTCATCTCCCAGCAAATTATAGCATCCAATTTGGTGCAACCAAGCAACTGGCACCTACAGATCAAGCATTCTGACAGGACGTGATACAGGAGCAGCGCACTGCTGCCAATATTTTTCGACATTTTTTGCCAGGAATGTGCTTCTTTACGATCCTTTTAATTTATTATGCGGACATTATTGCAAAAATAATCCCGGAAATAAATGACAACCATAAGGCGCGCACCTGGAGGCTACCGCCACCACATGTGTTTTTTGGGGGCCCTTCTGGATAAAACAGACAACACACACGTCCGTAGTACACACACCCTGCACGTCGCTCACATGTTCCATTGCTTTCAAGCTTGCAACCATTTTTGCAGCACTTGGCAAATCGTACAAAGCGTGTTAGAAGTTTGCGGCCTTCGCAAAAGGATAGTGGTCGGATTTTTTTGCGTTTGATTCCGTAAAGCACGCGCACACACACACGCACACACACATATATACATACTCAGCCGACCCTTGCAATGGGAAGATATTACATATCACATTCGGCCAATTTGTCTATCGCCACCTGTGGATAATCGCCATAATATCGTTATTTTGCAACGAAGGTAGTGCTCTGCGTTACAGTAAGTAGTTCTTAAGTCCATCCGTTCC